TCCCACTACTGGGAGCCTTATGTGGTTACAGAAGATGGTTGAGTCTGCCTCTGTATTCTTGATTACTAAGAGTCCTCACTAGGGCCACCCTTATAGATTTCAGGAGTTTGCACTGTACTGTTTCCATGTGTCTGCTAAAATTTCCCATTTCAGTCATTTCTCCCTGTTTTTCTCCACTCTGTCCCTTCCTTACTACTCCTCCTCTTGTTCCCATTGCCACCTACCTCCATTATATTCATAAAATCTATTCTATATCCTCTTTTGGGGAGAACTATGCATCTCTCCTAGAGACATTCTTGTTATTTAGCCCTACTGCATGTGTGCATTATATTGTGATTAATTGTGTTTTCTGTGATTGTACTTGATTTACTTGCTAATATACACTTATACATGAATAAACCATGTTTGTCTGTGTGCTTCTGGCTTGCCTTACTGAGGATAGTAAAGAACTCAAGAAACTAGACAACAATAAACCAAAGAATCCAATTATAATGGGGTACACCTCTAAGCAGAATTCTCAATAGAGGAATTGAAAGTGGCTGAGAAACATTTGAAGAAATGTTCAGCATCCTTAGCCATCAGGGAAATGGATATGAAAACTACTTTGAGATTTCATCTTACACCTGTCATAATGGTTAAGAACAATAACAAATGTGACTGCTAATGCTGACAAGGACATGGAGCAAGGGGATTTATTCCTTTCACTTGTATAGTCACTGTGGAAATCAATATGCAATTTTCAGAAAATTGAGAATCAATCTACCTCAAGATGCAGCTATACCAGTCTTGAGCATATACACAAAAGATGTTACTCCATTTTACCACAATGACACTTGTTCAACTATCTTCATAGCTGCTTTATTCACAATAGCCAGAAACTGCTATGTCTGTAATAGTTTGTGTTGATTGATAATTGATAATTGATGTGGGAAGGCTCCTCCACTGAAGGGTCAATGTCCCTAAGAAAGTGGGCCTTGGCTGGAAAAGAGAGCTATCTGAGCATGAGACAGTGAGTTGGCAAGAGAGAAACCAGGAAACAATCTTTGCCCTCAAAACTCCCAAAATGATGGAGTGTCATCTGACACAAACTGCCAGATAAACCCATTCATTGCTTGACATACTTTTGTTTTGAGAACTTAAACGCAGCATCATAAAAGAGAGTTTAAAAAAAAAAAAAAGGAACACCCAAGGCAATTTTATGACTAGCTAGAACCTGAGAATGTTGTCTTTTGGAACAATATGGAAGATATCAGGACTTTAGGTGCCAAAAACCATAGAAAGTTGTATACAGATCTTAACTGGCTGTTCTTATAGGACCAAGAAGATGAGAATGTTAAGAGTAATGGTAGAAAGTGGAGATTGAAATCTTAGGATTTCAGCTGGAAATAGAATCTATAAAAATTAAGGTAGATGTCATTTGTGTAATATTTGTTTCCAAAATCCTATTTTGCCCATACTCTGGAAATGTAGTAATGCAGAATTAAAAAATAATAATGGGCTAGTTCCTTAAATGGAATATTGAATCTGTTGGATGGTTACTACTGATGACTCATTTAGGTCTACAGTGGAAAAAAAGCAAGTGGGGCAGAAATAAATGAAAATGAAAGGGTAGTTTCAGAGGGCAGTCAAGTGCTGAAACAGACAGGTATTTTCAAGAAGTTTATCACTATTATGGAGAAGGCCCTTGTTATGGAAGTTAGCCTAGCAAGGTGCTCTAAAGGTAAGACTACATTCAGCTTCAATTTATGGAAGGAGTGAGCAAAGGAATTTATAGCCCCAGGAAGCAATTTTATACAAAACCTGCAATATCTGTGGTCTAAGCATGTTTGTGTCCATCCCAATTATGAAGTAAAATTTGCAGGATTCTACATCATGTGCTGGTCCTGGAAACAAGAAAGAATCAAAATTCCTAGTCTGTGGTTACAGTTTAGCATCTATGTTTTGGCATATTGTTATGGGCATCCATGGTTGGCAGTGTCAGAAACCTAGTGAGGAGACTGTGAAAGTCCATTGCATGAAGCTGTAGGGTTGGTTATTTTTTTCACTCCTTACTCTTTGGGGGGCCTGCCACCCAGTTCTCAAATAAATCACACACACTGAGGCTTATTCTTTCTTAAAAAGGCTTGGCCTTAACTTGGCTTATTTCTAGCCAGCTTTTCTCAACTTAATTTATCCCATCTACATTTTGGCTCTGGTCTTTTATTTTACTCTATTCTGTGTTCCTTTATTTCTTACTCCTTGCTGTACCGTGTACCTGGGTGGCTGGTCCCTGGTGTCCTCTCCTTTTCTTGCTCCTTCCTTTTTTCCTCCCATATTTCTCCTTTCATTTATTCTTTCTGCCTGCCAGCCCTTCCTATCTTTTACTGCCCAGTTATTGGTTACTAACTCTTAATTAGACCAATCAAATATTTTAGACACACAAGGTATCATAGCTTCATAGAGTTAAACAGTTGCAACATAAAAGAATGCAACACATATATTCATCATTCAAACAATTCTTCCACAGCACAGACAACTATAACACATCTTAAAATAATATTCCATAACAACCTGGTTTCAATTTGAGACCACAAGATTTTTGAGATACCTTAGCTATGAGACATCTTCCCAGGAGAGCTCGCAGCATATAAGGAGTGAAAGTAACCAAAGAGAGAATTGCAGGGATAGGGCCATCAAAACATTTTGAAACTGAAGCCCCATGCATCTGAGATAGAGATACAGGATGTGGTGTTTGTCCTGCTGTGCTTTAGGCTTGCCTTGGTCCAATCTTCCCTCACTGTGTCTACATTTCTTTATTTTGGAATGTGAATGACATTCTGTGCTGTTGTACATTGTAAAGATGTAACTCATTTTCTGATTTTACAAGATGTCACTCTCAAAAGATCATCTTGAGTGTCAGAAGAGACTTTGGACATTTGAACAATGTAGGGACTGTTGCAGACTATGAGGGTCATTGAAGTGACTAAATGCATTTTCTTCTTGGATGACCATGAGCATATCATTTCCTGGGTCAGAATGTAGTTGATTGAATGAAAAACCACCCAGATAGGATGATTTACTTAATCACGTGTCTGTCCTTGGTGACGTTCTTAATTGCTTGTGAAACTTTTAGTAGGAAGAGATTTTCTATATGAAATTCCTAATTTGGGGTGTAATATCCATTTCTACAGCCTTAACACATTTCCTGTTCTTTGTCTACTGTGTTGTTGAAATTAATCTAATCCAGTTTCCTTGTATTTTCATGCTGTCACCACCATTACGGAATCTAACTCTATGTCAAATAAGATTCAGTAGAAGCAATTGCTATTCAGTGTTAAGGCACTTTGGTAGCTTACTCTTTTAATTTTTTGTTGTTTTTTTAAGACAAGTTTTGTCTGTGTAGCCCTGGCTGTTCTGAAAGGAAGTCTGTACACCAGGCTGGCCTTGAACTCAGAGATCCTCTTGACTCTAGGTCTCAAGTCCAGGGACCAAAGGTGGGCCAACATTCATGGCTTCTTAGTTTTTATATTTTTTGGTAATGGAGTGGGCCTGGAATGTAGGTTTTTGCACATGTCAAGCATATGCTGTTGTATTGAGCTTCACCCATATTTTGAATTTTAAAATTTTTCAGAGGTTATCATTCTGTTTCTCAGAATGGCATGTATGTGTGATGTTAAATATTGACTGAGCTGATGGGTGATGGTGCTGTGCATGCTGTGAATGTGTTGTTCTCATTGGTTGGTAAATAAAATGCTGATTGGCAGCAGCTGCAGCCAGGAGCCAAGTGAGCATGAGGCAGGAGGCAGGGTAGGCAGTTTACAGGGTCTGGGAGAGGTGAAATGCAGTCCAGTGATGCTCTCTGGAGAACTCTGCTCAGTCTATCTCCAGCATTCAGGATCCAGGAACCCAGAGAGCCAGCACATCTGGATCCCAGGTCTTAAGGGCACCTATCTCAGCCCTGCCTCATAGGTGTGACAGTTACCAGAAGCCTTAAAGGGGGATAGTACTTCCAGGTCAAAGCTGAAATAGCTACACACTACACTGAGCCTTCTGAGTCATTGGTTTGCAGGTTCATGACCTTCCTGCCTGTTTTGTTTTGAACTTTTAAACGAAAATGAGTATTTTACTTGTATGCATGGATATGTATCATAAGTGTACATCACACTGATCAAAGGATGGTTTCAGAAACCCTGAACTTGGAATAATGGATAGTTGTAATCCCCCATATAAGTACTGACAATTGAGCCCACCTCTTTGCAAGAACAACAAAAGCTCTTTACTACTTAGCCCATCTCCCCTACCCTATGTTGATTATTTATGATCAACATTTACATTGCTAATGTTTTCATTTGCCCATTTGTAACTATTACAACATGCAGTTAGTTCTATTTAGGAAAATTTTATCGATGTTACAGTTTGAATTTGGGCACTTCAGGTTTCTGGAAGATGAATACAGAACTAGAGGGAATGTATAACTCTTTGTAGGATTCTCAGTAAAAATCTCTGTGTTCCTTCTATCTTTTTTGTTGGATTAACTAGTTTTTGCAAGGAAGACAGGGTCTTACTATGTACTTCTGGCCATCCTGGACCTGATTGCATAGACTAGGCTGGCATTCAACTCAGAGGCATATACCTGGCTCTGTCTTTTGAGTGTTAGGGTTAAAATTATGAGCCAATACATCCAGCTTGTCCATCTTATTCATCTTCTTTGTAGTTTGTGATTGTTCATGCAATTTTTCTCATGTGTACTCTGTACTATGGATTTGTTTACTTGTCTCTTCATGTTTGTTAATAGGCATTTCTTTTGCAAGGTGATATGTCATTCAAAGGGTACATAAATGACAGAGGTGACCCTTTTATTCAGTTTTCTTCTAAAGTGACTTGGTAATTACATTATAATGTCCGCCATGGAGTGAGAGTAGGGAGCACCAGAAGTATATGACTGTACTGTCAAAGAAGCATACATTTACAATATTGTCAGTCTAATGTTTTCTGTCCTATATATGTATGGGATGTTTTAGAATACAGTGACCTATGATGATGTGCATATTGGTTTCACTTGGGAAGAATGGACTTTGCTGGATCCTTCCCAGAAGAATCTCTACAAAGATGTCATGCTGGAGACCTACAGAAACCTCGCTATTATAGGTAAGACTGTACTTTCTCTCATATTTTATAGTAAGGGTACAACTATTCCTTGGCTTTGGATCCTCCTCTGTAATTTGAGAAAGACAAATGAGTGGAGTAAATAAGTCATTGTTCTAAGATTCACTGAAGATAGTAACTTAAATTTTACAAAGTGTTTAATAATATACATTTTCTGGTGCTATATTTTAGGATACAGTTGGGAAGACCATAATATTGAAGAACATTATCAAAATTCTAGAAGACATGAAAGGTAATTGTCTTGTCCAAGCAGATACAAATGTGCATCTGAAAAAATTGTAATATGTCCTGGATGTTTTTAAAAAAAAAAGCAGCAGTATTAATAAGCACCACTTAAAGTGCATCGATGATTACTAAATTCTCACAAAACCATATACCTCAATTTTATATAGGTGGATTACATATGCAAAGCATTTTTTTTAAGAAAGGAGACAATGCCTTAACGGATATCACCGTTTGAATCATAGCACTGTGAGAGCTCTGCTGTAGAACTGCCAATCCATTTATTTCATCCTACTCATATAACAAAAAGTATACACATTGAAGTGATAAGTATATATCTAAAACATTCTAGTAAGCAAAGAGTTCATAGTAAAGCTCATATTGCTCATATACTTGTTATGGCTATGCTATACAGTGAGAGGGGTAGAGTCAAGAGCCAAGAGGCAGTTGTTGTAGAGAAACTAATCCCTATACCACAAGTCTGTGAGGACAAAAAGTCAAATAAGCAGAAAGTTTTTCTGTGCCCCACCTAGTCTGCAGCTGCTCAGACCCAAGTAAACATACAGAAGCTTGTTAATTTCAATTAAAATTGTTTGGCCATTAGCTCAGGCCTACCACCAACTAGCTCTTACACTTAAACTAACCCATTTCTGTTTAATCTATATGTTTCCATGTGTTCTGGGGCCTTACCTGTGTGTCATTACATGCTGCCCCTGGACAGCAGGCAGGAGTCTCCTCACTCAGCCTTCCTCTTCCCAGAATTCTCTTTTTCTGCTTATATCACTTATACTTCCTGCCTGGCTACTGCCCAATCAGCATTTTATTTATCAACCAATCAGAGAAACACATCCATAGTATAGTATACATACAGAGTGATATCACCCATTATTTTTCCTTTTCTTTCTATTTAAAAGGAAGTTATTAATTTCAACATAGTAAAATTACATATAATAGAACAGTTATCAAGCAAGAATTACACTTACAATATCTAATCTATTTGTATTTTGTAAAATTAAAGAACATATTCTATTCTAAATTTGTGAGTCTAAATTTTCATATCTAATTTATTTTTTTATCATAACCAAGGAAAATTTTCACTATATCTATCTAGTCTTCAACTACATCAAAGACCTCTGAAGGATATAATATTACCTAAGTAAACAGAAAGTGCACTTTAAGCAACTTCCAAAAATCTAGAATGAAAGAGACAGCTGGCTGCCTGGACAGTCACCCAAAGTTCTTCTGAAATGTTGGGGCATCCATTTTCAACCCATAGGCCTAGAGTCTCTCAGTCACTTCTCTCTGTGTCCTGTATAATGTCTGGCTGTTTCTTCTGCAAAGCAGGAACCTGAAGAACCATTTTATCTTGCAAAGTTCAGTGGTCACCTTCCTATGGGTCCTATAAGTCTAGTCGATAAAACATTCTTTCACACAGTACAGGCAAGAACAATTTCTTGCCCAAATGACCATTTTTGCCAAGAAGAAGATAAACTCCATATGGAGTGTCTTTGACATCCATCCTCCATATGGAGTGTCTTTGACATCCATCCTCCATATGGAGTGTCTTTGACATCCATCCTCCTCTCTGAAGTAAATTGGTGCTGCTGGGAGCATACGTGTCTCATTGTCCAGGAAAGTCTAAGTTTTTAAAACATTTTAAATCCCATATTCTGTATGTCTTTGAAGTGTTTGAAGACTATCTACCTAATTGAATTATATCTATGTATACCTAGAAAACTTAACATGACTATAAGTTTGACTGTAATAGAAACTAATTATTAACCTGTATTTCTTAATTATCCATTACAATTTAAATGAGTTACATAAACATAATACCTTAAACAATAGAGGAAATAAATATATAGTATAACAAAATCTACTCTAAATTTATATCAATAAACTAAAATATATAGCATTGTAACACATTTTAAACAAATTGCTCTTTAAAAGTAGGTTCAATAATCTATTCTTTTATCTTATCATATCTATATCCTATATTTCCATATCATATCCCCTCTTTCTTCTTTTAGAAATATATTGACTATGACCAATAACAATTTGTAACCAACAACCTAAACACAGACAAACATCCATAATTTATTTTTTGGGGAATGTGAGTGTAGTTTTCTAGGTGACTTCCTGCTGATAAAGGGTGTTATATTCTTATGGGGATACAAAGAAAATTTTAGGATTATGGTGAAGTTCTGACTGAAGTATTCTCTGGGGCTGTATTCTCTGAGCCATTTGCCTTGAAGTTGATTTTGGATGTTAGATGATTTATGCCATTGTGTCATTGGAGATCTTTCAGGGGGTCTTGGCTGGTCAAACCATATTAGCCTGAAAGCAATCCATAAGTTCTCATCTACTCTGGAAATAAAAGCAAAACCTCTTTTCCAAATCAGTGTATCCATAAACATAAATTTTGAAATCAAGATAACTTTAAAGTATATATATTGATTTAACTCAGCTGTTTTTATAATCAAATGTCTTTCTGCAGTTTAAAACCCCAAACATAATATAATCCAGATTTTCTGTGTCATAGCCATCCTTATGTGGCTTATATTTATACTGCCTTTACTGTCTCTTCAAAGATTTTTTTTTTAAAAAAAACTCTTTCTTTATATAACTATGTATATTCCTTTTCTTCTCTCTTCCACATCTATGTACATTTTTACACACAATGTAAACTGTTTAGGGTTTATCCCATCTATGTTTGTCTTATTTTGAATGTATAATCCTTATCTGGACAGGAGAAACATTAAACTGCTAAACTGCATGGCCAGGACAAAAAGTGGCAGGCTTGGCTGCTGACTCCACCCATTTCAGCTTTTCAACCTGGCGGAGGTAATTCACCTCCAGCTCTGGTTCATGTGTACCACCAGCTCTTGGAAAAACTGGGTCATGCCTCCATTAAAGCAGTGTGTGGCCCAGAAACCTTTTTTTTTTCTTTCTTTCTATTTTTCTCCTCTGTATTAGCAAGAGCTATATCTACCATGCAGCATACTGCACAGCTTGGAGATTCCTCTGTTGTAGTGTGGTGGAAATCTGCCATGCTGCAGGTCAACAACACATTCTGCTGTGAACCCATCATATTGTAGCTCATGGCTTGTCTAAGATACACAACTATGAAGCTGTTTTTAGCTCCATTTTAGAATCTTATTTTTTAAAACTTTCACAAGTTTTAGGTGAAAATTCTCACCCCATGACTTGACTCCATTTGTAGCTGAAAGTTTTCCTGTGTCCTTCCCAGTCTGTAGCTTTTCAGGCCACAGTAAACACACAGAGCCTTATATTAATTTATACTACTTACCCATTAGCTCAGGTCTACCTCTGACTAGCTCTTACACTTAAACTACCCCATTGCTGTTAATCTATTTGTTGCCACATGTTCTGCGACTTTACCTGTGTGCCATAACATGCTTCTTCCTGGATGGCAGGATGGTGTCTCCTCACTTAGCCTTCCTCTTCCCAGAATTCTCCTTGTCTGCTTATCCTGCTTATACTTCTTACCTGGTCACTGGCCAATCAGCATTTTATTTACCAACCTATCAGAGCAACACATTCACAGCTACAAAGTGACATCACCCATCAGTCAAACTGAGTTCAATGTGGAAATCTTTTGTTTGTTTTTCTTCCTTTACTAGGGATATCACATGTCACTTTGGATACAAGCCATTTGAGCATAGGGATACAGAAAGACATAACAATCTCTTTCTCAAAACAATTAAAAGATGTGTAGCAGTTTCCACATTGAATACACTTGGTGAATTTGATTCATGTATACAAGTAATTGGTTTCTAGCTTCATTGTTACGACATCAACAAACTCACACTACAGAAAAGGCATATGAGTACTAGGACTGTGTAAATGCAACATGAATGTAAACACTGCGATGATACCATAAAATCTGATTCCTCTTTATATTTGGAACAAATTGTAAACTTAAGTCAACAGAATGTTGAATGTGGCAAAGTTTTTACTTATACCAATTATCCTTGCAGGCATGAAAGAAGCCAAACTGGAATGAAAACTTCTGTACATACTCAATGTAGTAAAACCTTTGCATATAAAAGTCAGCTTCAAAGGCATGAAAGAAGACATACTGGAGAGAAACCGCATGAATCTAATCAGTGTAATAAATCCTCTGCATGTCACAATAATCTTCAAAGGCATCAAAGAAAATACACTGGAGAGAAATGTTGTGAAGCTAATCAGTGTGTTAAAACCTTTGTACAACAGAGCCATCTTCAAATTCATAAAAGAACACATACTGGAAAGAAACCATATGAATTTAATCAATGTGGTAAAGCCCTTGAACATCATGGTACTGTTAAACTGCATAAAAGAACACATACTAGAGAGAAAATCTATGAATGCAATCAATGTAGTAAAGCCTTTGCTCATCCCATTACTCTTCAAAGGCATAAAAGAACACATACTGGAGAGAAACTCTATGAATGTAATCAGTGTGGTAAAGCTTTTGCACTTCACAGTAATCTTCAAATGCATGAAAGAACACATACTGGAGAGAAACCCTTTGAATGTAATCAATGCGGTAAGACATTTACACAACATGGTCATCTACAAGTACATAAAAGAACACATACTGGAGAGAAACCCTATGAATGCAGTCATTGTGGTAAAGCCTTTGGTCATAACAGTACTCTTCAAAGGCATGAAAGAACACATACTGGAGAGAAACCCTATGAATGTAATCAATGTGGTAAAGCCTTTGCACGTCAGAGTCATCTTCAAATTCATAAAAGTACACATACTGGAGAGAAACCCTTTGAATGTAATCAGTGTGGTAAAGCCTTTGTACAACACAGTCGTCTTCAAGAACATAAAAGAACACATACTGGGGAGAAACTCTATGAATGTGATCAATGTGGTAAAACCTTTGTACAACACAGTCATCTTCAAGGACATAGAAGAACACATACTGGCGAGAAACCGTATAAATGTAGTCAATGTGATAAAGCTTTTGCATGTCAGGGTAGCCTGCAAAGTCATAAAAGTACACATACTGGAGAGAAACCCTATGAATGTAAGCAATGTGGTAAAGCCTTTGGACGTTACAGTGATCTTCACAGGCATAAAAAAACACATACTGGAGAGAAACCCTATGAATGTAATCAGTGTGGTAAAGCCTTTACACGCCCCAGTACTCTTCAAACGCATAAAAGAACACATACTGGAGAGAAACCCTATGAATGTACTCAGTGTGGTAAAGCTTTTGCACTTCACAGTAATCTTCAAATTCATAAAAGAACGCATACTGGAGAGAAACCCTATGAATGTAATCAATGTGGTAAAGCCTTTGCACAACATAGTGATCTACAAGAACATAAAAGAACACATACTGGAGAGAAACCCTATGAATGTATTCAATGTGGTAAAGCCTTTGGTCATCGCAGTACTCTTCAAAAGCATAAAAGAACACATACTGGAGAGAAACCCTATGAATGTGATCAATGTGGTAAAGGCTTTGCACGTCAGAGTCATCTTCAAGTTCATAGAAAAACACATTACTCGAGAGAAAATCTTTGAATGTAATCAACATAAAGCCTTTGCACAACAGTCATCTTCAAGAACATAAAAGAACACATACTGGGGAGAAACTATTAATGTAATCAATGTGATAAAGGCTTTGCACAACACAGTCATCTACAAGGACATGAAAGAACATATTCTGGAGAGAAACTTTATAAATGTAATAAAGTCTTTGCACGTCAAAGTAGCCTGCAAAAACATAAAATTACACATATTGGAGAGAAACCCTATGAATATAATCAGTGTGGTAAAGCCTTTGCTTATCAAAATATTTAATTGCATAAAAGAACACATAGTGGAGACAAACTATGAATGCAATCAATGTGGTAAAACCTTTGCATTTCAAAGTAACATTCAAGTACATAAAGAACACATGCTGTATAGAAACCCTATGAATGTACTCAATGTGATAAATCCTAGTTACAACTCAGAGTAACCCTATAACTGTAAAACTTTTAGTGTGTAATTCATCTCTTAAAGCCTTTGAATATAACATAAGACTTTGATGATCTGACAAAACTCATACCAAAGGGAATCTGTATATTTATAAGAATTGGTATGATCTCCAGTCAATATATTTATTTACATTCAATTATAAAAGATTCATTCTGGAGAAAAAATTGACACATGTAAATCTAAGAATTATGATGCCCCTCTTTATTTTTATAGCTGCAATCTTATATGGACAAAAGGCCTATGAACTTAAATGATAAAATAACTCTTAGATTTCATACCTTTCTTCATTCACATGAAATAATGAATCCATGTTTAAAAGTTCATAGATTTGTATTATTGCTTTTTCTGTTGCTTTGATAAAATGTAATGTCTAAGTGAACAAAGTGAACAAAGAGATTTTATTTGGCCATTGGTTCCAGAGCAATATATGAACCCTGTGAACGTGGCATGGATACAAGTGTCAGACATGGCAGCTAAAGCAGGAGCCTAAGAATTCATATTCTTTACCTGCACCATGAAGCAGAAAGTATAAATTGGAAATGGTATGCATATATAATCTCTCGTGCCAACCCCCAATGACATATTTCATCCAGCAGGGCACCATTTTCTAAATCTTCCCAAATGATATCACAGACTGAAAATGACTGATTTCTATGACTTCAAGCCTGCATGCTTGCTTTCTGTTACATAAACCAATTCATAATGGAGAGAAACTCTGTAACCCTTTAGATGCCTCAAAACCCATGATACTGAAATTGCAGTAGAAAAACATTCATGATTGAAAAATAGTTTAAAGATTTGTTTTTATTTTAATTATCCTATATCTGTATGTCTTTGTGTGGGTAAGTATATGTGCATTCTGCTTCTCAAAAAGGTTAGATCCTTGGAGCTTTTTGTAGCAGGAACTATTGGAAGTCATCAAAAATCAGACTTTGGTCCAGGGAATAAACTTGTGTTAAAGGCTTGGCTATGTCTACATTCTTGTCAATATTTTAAATTTTTTATGGCATCCTGATGTCAGGAAATAGGTAGGTACTCATACAAAATAAAATCCCTACTCATGTAAACAATTTGGTTAAAACATTAGACAGTACAGTTATTTTCAGTTTCAAGAAAAAAAATTCTTTCAAGTCTTTTTCATTGTAACCTTGAAGTAAGTAAATTATTAACCAAGTTTACTAAAGACTGATGTGAAGACCACATTGTAGATTCTATTTTGCAACATTTGAGGTACATATTGAAGTGTGTTATATGTGTGGCAAATTCAATTAGTGACATTTATTTTGTGGTATTTATATTCCTTCTGTGGCCCTTGTTATTCTTTTGTGCTTTGAATTAGAAAGACATATTTATCTGCTGCAATGTGTAGAATGAGATGGCTATCATCTAAGTGGTCCATTTTCATGTAACTCTCAGGCAGCATGTGATTATACTTTTCAAGTAAGTGTGTCTGTGAAAGGGTGGTGGATTTTTGTTCCTGATTTTATTTTTAATATTTTTTCACAAATTCCCTTGAAATGATGTTTATTATCCAGCCTGGCTTGAACATCAGTAATTGGTCATTGATACATTAGAATTCAAGATCCTTGTGTGTCAGTCTCCTGAGACAAGTCTAAGGGAAGATGATGTATTTTCAATGATTTTTATTTTGTCAAAGCATTTTAATGATGTTAATTTTAAAATACTTAACAGAGAATATACAAATCCTTAAATACTTTATATGTGTATCCAAAGAAACATTTTCATCTTCCTGGAAAAGGTGTAATTAATATTAATCAGCAATCAACTGTGTATTTCATAATATACAATTTTGGCAGGTTATCTTGAGCCAAGGAATACTGAATTTCCAACTACATGTTTTTCACTGTTAAGTCCACTCAAAGAGTTGAGACATAGGTCATTGACTGTACATGTGTGTGTCAGGTTACAAAGCTCATCAGTTAACATACCCTATAGTGCCAAGTCAAACAGTTGTTTATTTAATGCCAGTCTTCTACCAGAAATGGTCTGCTCTTTCTCAAAGTCAGCATAGCTGTGTGCTTTTCAATTACATTTATATTTTAAAAATATCTATTATTTGTGGTGGTATTCTAATTGTACTGAAATGTGATTTTGATTGTATGTTAATAAATAAAGTTGCCCAGAACTCACAGCTATTAGAGCCATAGACAGAGTGTGGCGGTGGTGGCACACGCCTTTAATCCCATAGATCTCTGTGTGTTCAGGGATACAGCCAGCATTGGAGACATATG